CCTCCATAGCTTGATGTGACAAAAACATTACTTATAAATCAGCTTTTGAAAAAACATTTATTTCCTCAAAAATTATGCACGTTGGCGTTTGTTACAAGAGACAAAAATGTAGTACATACTAGAAGGACCATTTTACGAAAAGAAAATCGGCTTTCGGTGGAGTCGGAAAATATTTATACCAAAATTTGTGTAGAGGTGGGGTTAGTTTTGAACCTTCCCGTACTTTTTCTTAATTTCTGTGAAAGTCAAATGTTAGAGCACTTGGAAAAACATAGACACCCAAAATATTCAAATCGGAATAACAGTTAATAAAATATCTGAAAAAATGTGTTTATTTTTAAGTTTAATGCCCTCTAGCGAAGAAACGAAGCACTTTCGTATAGAGGTAAATTGTGCTCAATGACCTTATCTTGATTCCAAAAATAGGTAGAATTTCTATGTCCACGGAATATTGAGACAACCTGTATTTTATTTTAAGAAACAGTTATTGAAATGTGAGTTTTAGATATAGATAAGTATACGCTTCTATACACGTTGAAGATACTAGAGATATTAACTATCTCTTCTCTAGTATATTTAATATCGAATTAATAATTGCAAGTAAACTATTATAGAATGTCCGTAACCTTAACTACGGCTATATTTAATACAATTTCTTCTACGTCCACTTAATTTGCCGGTGCCTTCGCCAAAATCGAATTTGCAGATGCCGGGCCAACGTGACTGCTTTTTCTCATGCAGGCCACGTCTTTCCACATATGTACACACGCATGCTTTCGGCTTAATATGCCCTCAAAATTAGTCTTCCGTCCAAGTACGAAAACACACGGTCACACCAAAAGAAAACAAGAAAAAGAGTTACTTTATTTACTTAGAAGCTGTTCTATTTACTTTTTTCTTTTATTCCTTCAAACTATATGGACGAAAAACAACTTATAGTGAAAACAAAATTAAGTTGGGGAGGTGAAAGATGTAACAAATATTTTCACGACCGCATTTTTGTCCATTAAATTTTCATGAGAAAATTGTATTTGTAGGAATATTTTTATAGACTGACAATTTCTAAATTTTCAGTTTTTGATAGTCCTTGAAATATAATCAAACCAGCCAAACGAAGTATACAAAAATATAAATATTTCTTACTTTTTTGTTAATTGCTTTATTTTTTAAACGTATATAAAACAGTGTGTCGATCTGCGGTGCGAGAGATGTGATGGTACTGGGTTCGATCCTCAGCCAGTACGGTCGCTTTATTTATTTAAATAAAAATATTGATTTATCTAGAGCGACGAGCGAGCCGCCGCGGCCGCCTCAATGAAGGCAATGGCAAACCACCATAAGTAATTTACCTTGTACAGCCTCTCAAATAGTGCCGTTCGGATTCGGCGATTAACTGTAGGTCCCGTGTACTTGTGAAACCCTGATGACACACATCACAAGGACTTGCGAGAGGTAGCAGAGGCTCTATATAGAGTAGGGAACTGTAAGAAGATAAAAAGCGAGTAAAAGTATTTTTTCAATGTTCTTAAAATATAGTATTATAATAGTACAGAAATGAAAACTAGTATTAATCAAGAACTATCGAAAATAGGAAATAGCTATCTGATCTGATAGTCAAGCAGCACTAAAAGCGATGAACTCAGTAACCATCAATACGACGTTGGTTAATGAATTCTTAGAGAAGCTGAACAAATTAGGTTATAAAAATAAAGTCTTCCTACTCTGGGTGCCCACTCACCAAGGGATAGAAAGCAATGAAAAAGTCAACGATCTAGCTAGAAAAGTAGCGAACACTCCACACTGACTGGACCAGAACCGTTCTGCTTTCCAAGCGGAAACCAACTTGAAGCGGAACTGAAGAACCTGGAGGACTCCATCGGTAAGTTGGAATGGGAATTTTCCAACGGTCTCAGACGTTTGAAAAAGTTTCTCAGAACTTATGAGAAATATCAAAGATTTTTCTTGATTTGAGGTTAGCTTCGGATTCTCACGGGGTTTCTAACAGGACACTCTCTCCTCAACGAACACCTCAGTAGATTGAAACTGAGAAACAACGGCGAATGCAGATTCTGTGGGGAAAATGAGAAAACACCTTATCACTCAGTGCGACAAGACTATAACCGTTCGTGCTATAATGGTACGGCTGATGTTGAAAATGGAGAGTAGGCCTCTGTGGAGATACTGGCCTTTGTCTCAGATACTCACCTTTGTCAAAGTCCTGAGACTGTAGGTGAGTTATAACCCATAGTAACTCAAGAAATGTGAACACACAATAGATATGTAAGGTCGCGGTGATTAACTCCCCTCAAACCTAAACATTCTACATTCTACTATTAGAAAAGTATAAAAATATGCTATATAATAAAACTGACAAAAATGGCTTTTTTCAATTTTTTTTTCAATATAGCACTAGATGGATTAATATTGTAAAACCACGGAGCATCTATACTTTTTAATAGGAATTAAATGTAATACAGGGGCAGTAAATTCTATTCTTTGGCAAAAAATATAAATATCGCAAAGCATGATATATGATTTATAGTTATGAAAATGAAATTTTAAATATGGCGCTGAAGTATGGCAGATAAACATGCCCCTAGAAGGAAAGGTTTTAGCAGCTGAAATGGAGTTCCTCAGAAGATCGGAAAGAAAATCAAAATTGGAAAAAGTGCGGAATGAAGAAATAAAGAGAATAACATCGTAGAAAAAAATTAAAAAAAAAAAGAATTAATCTGATATGGGCATGTAAAGAGAATGGGAAAAGAAAGGCTACCAAAAAATATCACAAAATGGACCCTAAATGGAAAACAAAAGCAAAGAACACCCCGAGAGACATGGTTAAAGGGGGTAGAAATAAATAATTTACAAGCCGATGACTGGATGGGCAGAAGGCAATGGCAGATAAGGCGGATCTATAACCCGATAACCGTAAGGCGGATCACGCTGTAGAGATGGACTATACTATATATATATTAAATGTAATACTACATTACGGGATTTAATAGAAGAATAATGTTAATATAATAATCTTACTAAATATGTAAATTAGAAATAATACTGGTTCCCATTCACCTTTGCAAAACCATTTTAGCAAGTGAATCTAATTTTTCCAGACTTATATGCTATATGATATGCATCATCCATTACGGAGCTCTAATATTCAATAGTATATTTAATATGATATTTCTATGGCTATTGAACCACGTCAGTCTGATGGCATACCTAATTTCTTAAACAAGTCATATAATTCTCTAAATACGGCCTCAGTAATCGGCCTCAGATTCTTCTCAGAAATGTTCTTTTAAAGCATGTAAGCTTTGCTGGCATGCTTTGGTTTTGTCACATTTTAATATTTTGTGTTGTTGATAAGTTTTTCCATTTAAATATTTCATCCACATTGCTCAATGAGAATAGGCTTCGATTTTTAGCATGAAACTTTTTGATTCCGATTTCTTTTGCAAAGTCGTCATCCGGGTTATTCAGTCTTTCGTATTATGGTTCTCAAATATTTGAAGCATTCTAACTTTTGGAAATTGTATGAATTTCCTGAAAGAGTTTGCTCTCCTTCAAAGTTCACAAATCACCAAACAAACCAAGGCTTGTCATAGCGGATTAGATTTGTCTATTTTTTTTTTGATTTTCAGAAATAATTTTTGATCTCATTATAATGAATCCAGAGGGACTACAATATTTTGTCATTAAAAACACATAGAGTTTATTATATAGATTAAACGAAAAAGATAAACAAATTTAAAACTAAATTAATTCAACATATTTTTATGTCCATTGTTATATTTCGTTAAATGGCAAAAATAAATTAATTTTATTTATGGTCGAATTTCCAATAAACAAAACACAGCAATCCGTTAGGGGATGTTTCTGCGGAATGGCAATTTCGACTAACTGTGTTTTTTTTTCTTAATGCGAAAGGAACATCCGTTACAAAGTTTTTTATTTATAGTCTGGCAGTTAGAAATTTACGATATTCCCAGGAAAAAAACGAGTCAATAAACTGGCTTATCGGAAAGCATTATTTTTATAGTGTTATTAACTATGTTGGGTGAAAATAAAAAAAATCCGGTATGAAAACTTTAAAATACATAAACATTTTAATTGTGACCGTTTTTCGTGTCGGTGAGTGTATTTTGTTTTACTGGCAATATTTCTAAAATATTGTAGTCCTGAATGTACTAATATATTAATCAGCATAAATATAATTATTAATCAAACTTGATATTTCATATAGTCAACATCAGGGGCAACGGCCTAGCTACGTTGAAACACCGGTTCCCATTAGAACACCGAAGTTAAGCAACGGAAGGCGATACTGGTGAATGGACGGGTGACCGGTTCGAAACTCTGTATCGTGCTGTTGTCCAAGGGAAAAGTGTAAAATCTATTGAAACACACTGCTCATTCACGCCGGTTCGAGGCCGGATGAGATCGGATATCTCGTGAGTAAGAGTTGATTTAGACACTTCCTAAGTCGGTAGGCCATTGACCATGATATGGCCGAGGAACGCGGTTCGGATTCCGCGTAAACAAAGTGGGCCCCGTCCAGATTAGCCCTGGCAGCAAAAAGGAGACTTTAACTGAAATATTTACTTTACTTTTACCTTTATCGTCAACATCAAGTTGATTTCATGAAATTCAAAATAAACAAATGGAAATAAAATCATTGCTTAAATGAAATATCATTTCAGTCTACGGCACTGGTAAAAATCATACGTTAAATTATTCAAATATTTATTCGGGAAATGATCCTTCCTCCGTTACGGCGAACTTGTTTTGCATCCTTATGAGTCGTAAGCAACTGCACGGAGATTGAAATTTTCTCTTGGAAAAATTCTCAGTTTTAAACGGTTATGGTTATTTCACAGCGATTTTATTTAATAATCTATAACAATAACACTTGAATAGAATCATTTTTATATAAAGCTTTTTATTATTCCGTTTGACTATAGTCACAATAACTCGTAATTTTTTTATTTTGGTTTTAGGTGTGTTTGGACTACGTGATGTGAAGATTAAAGTACCACAAGCGGTAATTAAAGGTCGTGAAGCTAATTTAGAATGTTCATTCGATTTGGAGAATGAAAATCTTTATTCAGTGAAATGGTAAGTTCGAATAATAGTAATTTGCATTGGTAATAATTATCGAATATGTGTACTCATTTGTGTATTCTCTATTTAGTCGTGCACATTACAATGTTTTAAACAAACCTAGATAATTACAGTTGGGGGTTGGAACCTTTGGAGTTACACAGCGAAATAAAACGCTAAATCACCACAATACACCAAAACACTTCTACTTTTACACTGGACGCGCGTTTCACTAACCATGTTAGCATCATCAGATGAAAGGTGATGTAACTCCGTATTAAACAAATTTCTTGTTGTGCTGTTTCAATATATAGTTGTCAGCAAATTTGGCTTGATTTTGGCAAAATAAGCTATTATGAAAAGTGATTTGTTTGCAAAGTTATAAAAATATAGTAAAATTGTCTAGATCATATTGTAATGTTTGAATTTAGAACAATAAACAAAATAAATTGAGTCGTTTTAACAAATTACTATTTTTATTGCAAAAAAGACCTTGTCCCAACATATAGTTGTTAGGGCTCGTATGCTACATCGCATTTTTAGGAATTCCTTTCATCAATTTATTTATTATCATTTTTTTTATCAGGTACAGAGGAGGCTTTGAGTTTTACCGTTATACACCTACAGATCTTCAAAAAGTAAAACTTTTCGATGTGAAAGGTATTAAAGTGAAAGAATCTGAATCTACCGAAAGGAAAATTATTCTTGAAGACGTATCAAGAGACATCAGTGGTCCGTTTAGTTGTGAGGTTACTGCAGATAAACCGAGTTTCTTTACCGCTATTCAAACAGCCGAGCTTCAAGTAAGTTTTACATTTTATTCTGTTAATTTCCGTGTCATCAATTTACTGTTGCAAATTGCCAAGTATAAACATTAAATTATAGTAATTTTCTCTATTCGATTCCATAACAAATTGTATCTTCCTAGTTGGCTTAATATTGTTAATAAATAATCAAGTAGTAAATAAGCAACATACTAATAAATAATAATAGTGACAGTTTACTAGTCCATCTTTTTTTTATTCATTTATTATAACATAATTTATATATACAGGGTGGTCGGAACTGTATTCCGGAAGCTTCGGCAGCATATTCTGCAGATAAAAATAAGTAAAAAAGTTCGTATAAATATTTGTACTAAAATGCTTAGTTTCGGAGACACAGGGTGTAGAGGTTTCATTTTTATTTCGATTTTTTCCAAATACTTTCTGAAGTAACGTCAATATTTGGATGAAAATTGGTGTCTGAAAGTTTTTTGACATGAGAAATTTGATTTTGATGTCAATATGACTCCTACTAGTAGAGGGCGCCACCTACATATTTTCAATTGGTTTGAAGCGTAACTTTTCGTCGATACCTGTATAAAACTACTGAGTAAAAAATATACATTTACGACGTTTTATACGTGAAAAAGGTCTCTTGGTAAAAATCGCTACGAGTAATAGTTTTCGAGATAATTGGAATCGAAATTATCAATACCTGTCATCATTGACATAAATTAAACATGTTGACTAAATAGTTATTAGACTGATATCATAAATGTGAAATATTTTTATGCTAAAAGTTCAACAGAAACTGTTTTATCATCATTTTTTGCAGAAAAATTTATGATTAATTTAAAAAAATAAGTATCTACTCAACATGTTTTTTTTTTCGTCAATAATGACATGTATTGTCTATTTACATTATAAATATCTTAAGAACGGTTGGTCGTACCGATTTTTACAAAGAGATATTTTTTACGTAAAAAGTCACAGAGATGTATATTTTTTCGCTCGGTAGTTTTATACAGGTACGGACAAAAAAATATTACGCTTCAAAACAGTTAAAACACATGTAGCTGGTGCCCTCTACTAGTAGGAGACATATTGATACCAAAATCAAATTTCTCATGTCGAAAAACTCCCAGACACCAATTTTCATCCAAACATAGACATTACTTTATAAATTATTTAGAAAAAATAAAAATAAAAATGAAACTTCTACACCCTGTATCTCTGAAAGTGAGCATTTTAGGCCGTACATTTATACGAACTTTTTTACTTATTTTTATCTGCAGAATATGCTGCCGAAGTTTCCGGAATACAGTTCGGACCACCCTGTATATTATAACATATTTACTGAACATATAAAACTAAATAAATAAAATTGTCATAGTGTCAGCAATAACTATTAATACAAAATAAAAACTTTTTTTCTCCTATATTAGGTGAAACTAAACCTAATTTTATCATGAAAAATACTGATCGTTATATGGTGAAGCGAGTGGTGTAGCTATAAAGAGGAATATGGTCTCAATTTAAAAATCTAAATTAAAAAACAAAAAAAAGCAAATTTAGGGAGTTCAATTTTTCAGTTCATTTATTTTTTTATTTACCGATATAAAATGGCAGAAAGTTACTAAAAACAAATGAATAGCTGGATGGAATATTTGTTGCATAAATATAACCAAAAAGTAATTGTTCGAACAGCATGTATGAAGAGTTACGTTTATACCAAAAAAAAAACGCATTTTAACAAAAAAAATCGGTGAAATAATAATATTCGGAAAATTGCAATGTCTAGAAATGTTTTATTTGGTATACACAGATTTGTTCCACATATCCTTTTTAAAATATTTTGTTTAGCTATTATGTTTTTCGTCGAATTTGTTTTAATTTATATCTATTATATTTTTATAACCTGTAGTATAACATATCCAGGGTCGTTAATGAGGTAAAATTTGGTCAATTGTATAACAGCTTTCCGGGTTCTGGGAATACTGACATTGTCATCTCTTTATATTTATCACAACCTATACTAGATTTAAGGAATAAGATAGACTCATGCACAATTTACAGCTTACAAGTTTATGACTATAATACACGAAACAAGAATAATATTGTAACAGACTACTAAGAAGGCATCTAAGAAGGTGTCAGGATGGTCCGGGGTAATGGTAAAAAATATTTTTTTTCCATAGCAACTGTTAAAATTACCTTATATCTATCAAAAATAGTAGATAAAATAATGGATAAAATACTACTTTAACCACAAGAGTAGATTAAATGATACTTTAACAGCGAGGATAGGTTAAAAACATTATTTCTTCTCGCACGTTTTTTAATTGCTTCTATTTTTGAAAATTTCTGTATTCCTTTTCATAAGTTATTCGGGATTTAAATGGAAGTGGTTTGGATATGGCGTTTGTCGCCTCAGCCTGAATATCTGTTGGTAATTTACTTATTTTGTTTTGAGCCATATCTGGCTCCAATTCAATCAGCAATCGACACGAAAGAGAATTAAAAAATATTGACTCAAAATTGACAACTAGTAAGACAGCTTTATTCATTTGTCAAATTACATAGACATAGTGTTTTTGCTTTGTGGAGAACTTCTTAATGTGAATATTTTACCTGTAATATTCTATTTTTATTATATATTATGTATTAAATATTTATTTCATTTTACTTTGTATCTTGAAATGAATGATATATTGGCGATTGTAAATGGTAATTTAAAATAAATAAAGAATTATAATTTGAAAATTTGAACAAACAGTTCAAATGTAATAAAGGAACCTATGTTGTGTTAAAAATATTTTTTATTTACATTAGGGAAAATTGAGGAGAATAGGTTATGTAAATCAAACGCTAAATTTTTGTGTGTTATTAAAAGTGCCGTACTCTGCCTGGAATTCGCAAGTAAAAAAGCACGGAAGAGAAAACCTTGATCACTTTTTTAAAGAATCTATGTTGTTTGGGACTTACATAATTCTAAAGATATAATAATAATACAAAAACTGTCCTCATACCAAGGTTTGTAGATCTGAGCTGATCCAAGCTGAGCAGATCCCCACCTAAAGTACCAAGGTCCCTGGATTCAGGACAGCTATAGTTGACCTGTTTGGTGCCATTGCCTTTAGACTATGAGTTATACCACTCTTTGGTTTTGACTCCCCATTTGTTTGCTAATATATTCGCCCAGTCACGGTCAGAAAATATTAGTACTCTTATCAACGCCTTTATTGTCACACTAAGTCATACTGAACCTACATCGGCACGAATAGACAGTAAAGGGTTGTATTTAGATTTAATTTTAAACTAGAAATTATTCACAGCATAAATCAATCCATTATAAATACATACAATATGTTATACAATATAATTTTCAGATGAAGTAAATTAGGAACAGCTTTAGCACAGAATATTACAACAGTAAAATAAAATATATGCTTTAGTTTAACACTAGTTAAATAATAAGGAAACTTTTACTTCACCTTTAATAAAATTCTTTGTCTCAATAGCCAAAACTTACAAACCAAGATAACATCAGTGTGTCTGGAACGGTAGTCTAAAAGCTATTACCTAACACCTATCGTTCTCTCTTGATTGTCTAATTTCTTTCTCCCTAGTTTGCGAATAAATATTTTTTAAATCAATAATGATTTATGTATACAGATTGTCTTAAATCTGAATGATATGTGAATGTGTATAAACTATTTATTACAAAAATAAATATATGTTTATCTTTATTAGAAAATACTGCTAAATATTTAACTAAATTCTATATAAACGTATAATTAGAATTGAATATAATTTATGTTGAAATGTTTCGGAAATATTTTCATTTTAATTATTTTAATATAAATTATCATTAATATACTTTCTACGCAATGCATGTTACCATATTATTTAAAAATGAATTAAACATATTCTTCAATATTATTTTATAATAGATTTAATGGTCTAGTATAATTTTTTTATAATTATTAAATTTACTGATTTTTTAGTATATTTAAATTGAATAAAATATATTACGCTTTGTTAGTTTCTATAATATTTATTTCATAAAAAATTGTCAATGTTCGTTTTTTTATTATAAAAAAAATTGTTAGTGGTAACATTTTATTTACAGTCACTTATATGATAATATACAGGGTAGTCCAAACTGTATTCCGGAAACTTCCGCAACATATTCTGCAGATAAAAATAAGTAAAAAAGTTCGTATAAATGTATGTCCTAAAATGCTTAGTTTCGGAGATACAGGGTGTAGAAATTTCATTTTTAATTTGATTTTTTCCAAATAATTTATGAAGTAACGTCAATATTTGGATCAAAGTTGATATCTGAGAGAAAAATTATTTTAATTTTGCTCTTAAAAATTGAACAAGACATGAGTTACTATAAGTAAAGAAATAAAATATTCAGGAGATATGGTTCTGAGCGAAAAATAATGATTAGGAAAATATGCTCGCGAAATTATTGCACAAGGTGTTTTAAAGATAAGTTAAAAATCAACTCTTCGATTAACTCTGTATAATAAGTCAAATACTAAAGTTTATAATAAACTGAGTTTACGATTTAAAGTTGATATATGTTTGCTAAATATTTGCTGTTGATACACAGTTTGTTAAAAAATCAAGAAAATAGGGCTAAAAATTAAAAAATATAACATTTTAAACTAGACGAAAAATTTTTCGGTTACATTTATTTTGCATCTGAGTGTAGTTTACACTTGATAGCAGTCATCCATAAAGACATTAACGTTGTGTAACTTTAAAAAATATACAATGGAAGCCCAAAATTCGCTTAGAATCATTATAAATTAATGTTTAAAAAAGTCTTAGTGTGAAAATGCCAAGGATGGCATTTTCATTACTTATTTAGACCGACATGAAAGGCACAGCACAGGGTTTTATTTCACGAAGCCCGGAAAAAACTAATTAATGCAAAAGGTCAGTCTGAGGCCTTAGGAAGTTCGTTAAAAGTTAATATACATGAACCGCAAACTGCCTTTCTGTTTAAGCTTTGAGCACTGCAG